CTGGTCTACGGGCCAGTAGCTGGAAGAATAAAAAGCCCTTTCTCTCCGTAGTACCTACTAGGTAGGTGCTTAGATAGTAACTCTGTTCTCTATCTTCGGACAGCATGCTAGTGAGCATGCCTAGTCCCTGACGCTTGAGACGTCCACAGAGTTATGAGCCCAACCATTCCCCAAGTGGGAAAGGTAAGAACTACTAGCCCCCTTCCCCCGTAGGTCCCTGCATAAGAGCAGCGGACGAGCCACCCATGCTCAGGGCTGTAGTCGCCTCCCTGTGTGGCTATGCCGCGCTTGGAGTGCCAGAATAGCGCAAGGCGCTAGAAAGGGCAAAAGTCCCCTCGCACTGATTGGAGAAGAAAGATCTTCTGGGGATCTGGTCACGGTCTTGGTTTCACTAAGATCTTTGCTTGGGGTCCTCATAAGAAGTTCTACACTGTGGTGGAGAAGATCTCATCAGCGTGGGGTCTTCTACAAATTCTGGGTTCACGCGCCCAAAGGTTCCTGATCTTAATTCAGGATCGACATTAGGTTTCTCGTAAGAAGCTATTTAATAGCTGTAGCACAGATTTCGAATCTGCTCCCTGGGGCGCTTAACAAACTTCACTCAGGTGGTGCAAGCTAGCGGGGAACTGCAACAAGCTCGCACAAGTGCCAACGCGGTGCGTTGGTGGAAAGCAAGCAAGCTCGGGGTAGCTGTTCGAGAAACAGCTTGCAGGTCCAGTCGACGCCTCTGTAGGGACAGAGGCGAATGAGGATTGAGGTTGAGCAACGAGCTCAGGCTCGTGTGAGAAGTATAATGTAGTCTGAGTCGGGCCTATTACGGCTCGAAGTCGTAGCTTCGGTTGTCTCGGTGCATCGAAGGAATGCCGCGAAGGCGCTGCCACCGGGAGTGGTAGCCGCCTACCGCGAGAACGGTTTTGATGTTCACAGATTGGAGGCACATGCTGTGCATGGCAATTTTTGTGACGCGTTCTTTTGTGATGCATTCCGCTTCATGACAAATTCCGTTCTTTACGCGAACGCTTTTTTCTGTTATGGAGGTACTGAAAGAGGACTTATCAAATGCAAAAGTGTCTGGGTCTGGAAGATTCTAAACTTGTGATGCTGTCCGTGGAAGATTCCAAAACACTTTGTATTGCATGACCCGCAATAGGGGCCGGGCTGGTAGTCCCACTTAAGGACGAGGGCATCTCTCATGCGGTAGAGATTATATCACAAAGCTTTCTAAAAATCTCTGATGCTGCGGCATGCATCACAGACATCATGGCTCATGTTATTTAAGATATGCATGACCATAAATCTAGAACTCTTCCAGACCCAGACATTTTTGCATGTGATAGGACTGCTTGGCAAACTATTTGACTGGCGCGTGCATTCTGTACAGCAAATGCGAGCCTAAAAGGTTGGACAGGCAATACAAACCCGAGTTTTTCGAAACCGTGCCCGGACTGGTTTGTGACGACGGCAGCTGCGTGTTCAACGATGCGACACCAATCGCACTTCTCCTCACCTCCTACGTGCGGTTCGGCCGTCCCGGTGGCGTGCCCGAAATGGAGCCCCCGCAAGACTGCACGGGGTCATGGAGTGTAGCAGCTTCGGACGCGGAGTTGGAGCAACAGTGCACCGGCACGGGAGAGACCCTCACGCGCAAGTACACGCAGACCCAAGCCGCGGCAAACGGCGGTGCCCCCTGCGAGGCCGCAGACGGAGCTGAGAGCAGTTTGAAGTATCAAATGCAAAAATGTCTGGGTCTGGAAGAATGCAAGTTTGTCATGCTTGTCTGGCATGACTCGAGAATCTGTGTTGCATAGGCGCGATACGGCCCTCTTACCTGTCATGCAAAAACGCAGTTTGCCATGCGGAATACGTAAGACATGGCACCCAAAAAATTTGCCATGCATAGCTGCGTATTGTAGTGCGTCTCTCATTCACTTTTGGCATTACACCCAGACATGTTTGCAATCCATATTGAGTGTCCTTGTGATAAAGCCGGATACCATGATATGCAAGAAAAAAACTGTGTAACTCTGTAATGCAGACGCAGAGCATGCAACAGAGTTACACCTGTCATGCCAGACAAGCGTGAAGTCCTCTTTTCATGTGTGTTTTCCCTCACATGTAGAGCCACGCATGACAGGTTTTCTCTGTCATGTAGAGCAAACTTGTGATGCTGTCAGCCAAAGAAAGTTACACGAGCACAATTTTTGTCTTGGATACACGAGGACACCGCTGCAGGCACTTGCACGCAGAATGTCTGCACTATGGAAGCGTCAGGTGCGGAATCGACAAAGTTGCAGCATTTTTTTGTCACGCATAAAGACGATGATGCCACCAGTTTGGCCCCCAATTTCTAAGCGGCGCATCACAAATGTTGGCAACACCTAAATGTAGTTTGCCGCGCTGTTTGGTGGGCAAAGAAGACTGTCTCTGTCATGCTACTTGAGCAGCTCTAGTATCTCTAGCCCCAAACAGTCCTCTTTACGCATTACGACTTACTGCTCTGTCGATTTGTTCAAACCTGACACCCTCATATTGAAATGTGAGCACGGCGAGGAGGCGACTGGCACCGCTTGCACCTCGCGTGATGCGGTGATCTGCACTGCTTGCACTACGGCCGGCTATCACAAAAGCGGGAACAACTGCGTGCAGAACGACTGCACTTGCCCGCACGGCAATGAGGCGACGGGGGCGGCCTGCACCTCGCATAATACGGAGATTTGCCACGATTGCGATGCTGGATACCACCTAGACGCTGCAAACTGCGTCGTGAATACCTGCAAATGCGAGCACGGAACAGCATTAACGGGGCCACCGACGTGCGTAAACGACGATGTGACGGTTGGCTGTCAGCAAGGCACTTGCAACTCGGGGTATCACTTCGAAGACGATGGCTCAGCCAAAAACTGCGTCGTGAATACCTGCAAATGCGAGCACGGAACGCCGTTAACCGGGCCGCCGACGTGCGTCGACCATCAGACGACGGCTGGCTGTCAGCAAGGCACTTGCAACTCGGGGCATCACTTCGAAGACGATGGCTCAGCCAAAAACTGCGTCGTGAATACCTGCAAATGCGAGCACGGAACGCCGTTAACCGGGCCGCCGACGTGCGTCGACCATCAGACGACGGCTGGCTGTCAGCAAGGCACTTGCAACTCGGGGCATCACTTCGAAGACGATGGCTCAGCCAAAAACTGCGTCGTGAATACCTGCAAATGCGAGCACGGAACGCCGTTAACCGGGCCGCCGACGTGCGTCGACCATCAGACGACGGCTGGCTGTCAGCAAGGCACTTGCAACTCGGGGCATCACTTCGAAGACGATGGCTCAACCAAAAACTGCGTCGTGAATACCTGCAAATGCGAGCACGGAACGCCGTTAACCGGGCCGCCGACGTGCGTCGACCATCAGACGACGGCTGGCTGTCAGCAAGGCACTTGCAACTCGGGGCATCACTTCGAAGACGATGGCTCAACCAAAAACTGCGTCGTGAATACCTGCAAATGCGAGCACGGAACGCCGTTAACCGGGCCGCCGACGTGCGTCGACCATCAGACGACGGTTGGCTGTCAGCAAGGCACTTGCAACTCGGGGCATCACTTCGAAGACGATGGCTCAACCAAAAACTGCGTCGTGAATACCTGCAAATGCGAGCACGGAACGCCGTTAACCGGGCCGCCGACGTGCGTCGACCATCAGACGACGGTTGGCTGTCAGCAAGGCACTTGCAACTCGGGGCATCACTTCGAAGACGATGGCTCAACCAAAAACTGCGTCGTGAATACCTGCAAATGCGAGCACGGAACGCCGTTAACCGGGCCGCCGACGTGCGTCGACCATCAGACGACGGTTGGCTGTCAGCAAGGCACTTGCAACTCGGGGCATCACTTCGAAGACGATGGCTCAACCAAAAACTGCGTCGTGAATACCTGCAAATGCGAGCACGGAACGCCGTTAACCGGGCCGCCGACGTGCGTCGACCATCAGACGACGGTTGGCTGTCAGCAAGGCACTTGCAACTCGGGGCATCACTTCGAAGACGATGGCTCAACCAAAAACTGCGTCGTGAATACCTGCAAATGCGAGCACGGAACGCCGTTAACCGGGCCGCCGACGTGCGTCGACCATCAGACGACGGTTGGCTGTCAGCAAGGCACTTGCAACTCGGGGCATCACTTCGAAGACGATGGCTCAACCAAAAACTGCGTCGTGAATACCTGCAAATGCGAGCACGGAACGCCGTTAACCGGGCCGCCGACGTGCGTCGACCATCAGACGACGGTTGGCTGTCAGCAAGGCACTTGCAACTCGGGGCATCACTTCGAAGACGATGGCTCAACCAAAAACTGCGTCGTGAATACCTGCAAATGCGAGCACGGAACGCCGTTAACCGGGCCGCCGACGTGCGTCGACCATCAGACGACGGTTGGCTGTCAGCAAGGCACTTGCAACTCGGGGCATCACTTCGAAGACGATGGCTCAACCAAAAACTGCGTCGTGAATACCTGCAAATGCGAGCACGGAACGCCGTTAACCGGGCCGCCGACGTGCGTCGACCATCAGACGACGGTTGGCTGTCAGCAAGGCACTTGCAACTCGGGGCATCACTTCGAAGACGATGGCTCAACCAAAAACTGCGTCGTGAATACCTGCAAATGCGAGCACGGAACGCCGTTAACCGGGCCGCCGACGTGCGTCGACCATCAGACGACGGTTGGCTGTCAGCAAGGCACTTGCAACTCGGGGCATCACTTCGAAGACGATGGCTCAACCAAAAACTGCGTCGTGAATACCTGCAAATGCGAGCACGGAACGCCGTTAACCGGGCCGCCGACGTGCGTCGACCATCAGACGACGGTTGGCTGTCAGCAAGGCACTTGCAACTCGGGGCATCACTTCGAAGACGATGGCTCAACCAAAAACTGCGTCGTGAATACCTGCAAATGCGAGCACGGAACGCCTTTAACCAGGCCGCCGACGTGCGTAAGCGACGGTGTGACGATTGGGTGTCAGCAAGACAGTTGCAATTCTGGGCATCACTACCAGGACGATGGCTCAACCAAAAATTGTGTGCTGAATCTCGCGAACCCAGTGTTACCGCGCGGGTTTGGTATGCATTGCAAATCTAGTATCGTACTACCTAGTAGTAATCATTGCGTTACAAATTTCATATTTGTCAACTTGTTGGTGAAAAGTGGACTACGTGTAAAAATGCTGATTTTTTATTCCCTGCACATTTCTGTCATGCGAAGATATTGCAACTACTACGAAATGAAACTACGCAGGCGATAGTACTTTTGCACAGGATGTTCGACCTCCATCTGCAGCTGGCGGACGGTGTCACGGACGTGGCTGCGGCTTTGCAGACCTTGAAAACGGCTGTGAAAGTATCCTGTGTAAAAACGTCCCCACCCGAGAGTTGTCATGCAAATCTGCATGCTGAAAATGTTTCTCATGCGGAGCCCCATGAGAAGCATTTTCCAGTCATGTTTTGGGATTTGTCATGCTCCAATCAGCATGATATACTAGATCTGTGATGCTGCTGAGCTAGCTCAAACAGCACTACGATACGAGTCCACATTTGTCATGCAAAACAGCCGAAGCTTGTGGATCTTGACTATGGGGCGGGGACGTTTTTACATAGGATAGAAAGCTACGGTCGGCGAGTTTTTCCAACAAACCGCGGGCATCGCGTTGACACCGGAACAAATCTATCAAATGCAAAAATGTCTGGGTCGTCTGGAAGAGTATACACTTGTCATGCGGGTTTTCCATGACCCATGTGGTCTGGAATGCGGGACCTAGCATGACAGACTCTGTGAGGTCTTTGCCATGTGTGTCCTGCATGAGAAAGAACTTCGTCCCAACTGGGTTGACAGTGGACAGCTTTTGGTAATCATGCAACACAAGTTTTCGCAGGATTCGGACTCAGCATGACAAGTTCCAACCTTCCAGACCCAGACATATTTGCAGTTCATAAAATCGAAAATGTCGAAATCACGTTAAAAGACCCGAACGCAGTGTGTGTCCCGCTCAAATGGTACAGTCTCAAACGTTACAACAGAATAAATGGAAATGATCTGTGATGCAAGAAGTGCTGGATCTAGCCAAGCCTACGCCCACAGGGAGATTGCGCATGACAAGTGTAGTTTGAGTCCCAAGCCGCGCTAGAACCTGGCGAAATTCGTAATGTAGAGAGTGGAACGCTCTGCGATTCTATCATGCTCGTCATGCAACACAAGTTCCAGATGCTATTGTAACGCTTGAGGTTGTAATACCTGAGTAGGTTATACGGTGCCGCCGAATGTTGAAGTCGAAATAACCTTCGGCGTGCGCGTGGACAGCTCCGATGTGGATGAAATCAATGCCGTATGCATAGCAAATATCCATCTGGGTGTGGATTTGTGATGCGAGAGGTGAAGGACAGCAAGATCTGTAATGCCTGAGTACGATTGTTACCAATTTTGAATATGTCGTACAGGAAGGCAGTTTGTCATGCGTTCTACGCTTAATTCTGCAACAAGCCTCGCGCAACTTCTGATGCTGTTATGCCGTGTAAGTGGCTACTCTGCGACGTGAGTATCAGCAACACAATAAATTTTTCCCAGACGTCCACGGATATTTGCAGTTGATATGCCGCGTGGGCTCCCGATGCGGAGTTGTCCCCGACCGGGACTGAGGTGCAAGCGTTAAATTCGGCAGTAAAGAAAGCGGTCAATGAGGACCCGGCTATGAGTAACCAAATGACAGTCCCCGACACGAATGCAGTGCCAGGAACGGTCATCGTTACAACAACGACAACCACGACGACCACGCCAACGCTTCTCCCAAGGGGCTTCGACCTGAAATTAGATCTCCCAGCCGGTGCTGACGTCGCGACTGCGCTGAGTGACCCTGTGTTGAGAAGCAGTGTGGCGGCCGGTCTGGTCGAATATCTAAACGCGAAACAGGTCGGGGTGACGCTGACAGCTGATCAGATTGCGAATTTGCAAATCACGGAAAAGGAGGGACTCCTGGGTCAATTCGAAGTTCATTTTGATGTTGAGATTGATCCGGCGCATGTATGAAGTGCAAAAGCTTATCGTACAAGTCGGATTTGACAAGTTCTTCAGTGTTGTGTGACAGCACGATCTTTGTTTTTTCACCTGAAAATTCGCATGGCAATTTCCATTCCCGCATTTGAAAAAATGTGTTACTACGGAAAATACTTCCTTACTTTTGCAATGCACATTAGTACTTCCTTACTTTTACTTTTTTACGGTGATGCTTTTGCAATGCACATTAGGCTGGACAAATCGATTTCGCCTGGGATCCTCATGCGGCTTTGACCGAAGCCGCGATGCAGAATTTAGGAGCAGAGCTGCGGACTGCCGTTAGCAACAATGCGGCTAACATGAGTATGAGTATATCAGTTCCCGATACTGACGCAGTGCCAGGAACGGTCATCGTTACAACAACCACAACCACGACGACCACGCCGACACTGCTACCCAGGGGCTTCGACCTGAAACTGCAACTTCCAGACGGTACTGACGTTGCGACTGCGCTTCGTGATCCTGCACTGAAAAGCAGCCTGGTGGCCGGGTTGGTTGAATTTTTGAACGGGCAGCCGGGTGGGGTAACGCTGACAGCTGACCAGATCGAGAATTTGCAAATCAGGGAGAAGGAGAATGCCCAGGGGCAATATGAAGTGCTTTTTGATATTGAAGTCGACCCTGCGGATGTATGCAGAGTGAAAGTTTTTTATCGTGCTGGGGCGAGAAGTTCTGCAATGTCGCATGACAAGTTTTTGCTTTCTATGTCTGAATCTGCATGAGAAACAAGGTCATGGCGCGGGGACAGAGTCCCCGCGCTGCGACCTTGCGGCGAAGAAGGGCCACCCGCGGCGGCTTTTCTTGCCCATGATGCGGCAGGTTTTTTTTTTGCGACAGAACGGGGTAGCTTGGCGCTCGTGGTGCCGGCGCCCCCCCTGGAAAAATGCGCCTTTTTCTGCGCCCCTGGGCGGGGCGCCCCCCCCAAAGGACTACCCACGACCAACCGAGGGCGCGGCCGTCCGGGAGGTTGTTTTCCCGAACCAGGGCGCGCGGGCCTGTTTCTGCGCCCCTGGGCGGGGCGCCCCCCCCAAAGGACTACCCCCGACCATGCGAGGGGGGGCGCGGCCACCTTCCTGGAGCCTGTTCTCCGAACCAGGGCGCACAGACCTGTTTCTGCGCCCCTTGGCGGGGCCCCCCCAGCAGGACTACCCACGACCAAGTGAGGGGGGGGCGCGGCCTTCCTGGGGGCTGTTAGTTCGCTTCGCACTCCCGAATCAGGCCGCGCGGACCTGTTTCTGCGCCCCTGGGCGGGGCGCCCCCCCCCCAATGAATAGGCAGCCAATCTTTGGCCCCCGGGGTCGGGCCTGACTCTTGAAAAGCGGCCCCCGGGGTCGGGTGTTCCTTTTCCGAAGTCAGGTGGGGAGCATGTTTTGAGTTGTGCAGGAGGTTTTTGCCGATTCGGGTCGTGTTGGATACCCCCGAACAGGGGTCGGAACATACCCCGGAACACACCCCAGAACACACCCCGAAACACACCCCAGACCATGCCCCGAAAGCCACTTTCCGACAGTCAGGTCCGGGGTCGGGCCAGACTCTCGAAAAGTGACCTCCGGGGCCGGGTGTCACTTTTGCCGAGTCAGGTGTGGGGTATGTTTTGGGGGGTGCGTGAGGAAATGGCCGAGTTAGGTCGTGTTTGATACCCCGGAACAGGGGTCGGAACATACCCCGGAACACCCCCCGAAAACTCATTTTTGGGCAGTTGCTGCAGTTTAAATAGTAATTTCATTTTTACTTCTGCAAAAATTTTCAATCGCAGTACTAATTTCTAGTGCGATAGTACATCTTTTGCAAATGCATACCCTGCTGAAAAAGTCGACTACGCCTGGCATCCCGATGTGGCTTTAACTGCAGACGAGATGGAGACTTTGGGAACAAAGCTCCAGACGGCCGTTAGCGCAAATGCGGCCAACATGACCACGCAAGTAACTGTACCTGATCCCGCCGATGCTGTAACAGGAACGGTCCTCGTTACAACGACCACCACAACCACTACCACACCAACACTGCTACCCAGGGGCTTTGACTTGAAATTGAACCTTCCAGCAGGTGTCAACAACGTTGCGAAAGCGCTGGAAGATCCCGTGCTACGAAGCAGCGTGGTTGCGGGTGTATTGGAATTTTTAAACGGGCAGCCGGGTGGGGTAACGCTGACAGCTGATCAGATCGCGAATTTGCAAATCAGGGAAAAGCCGGGGGTGTCGGGGGAGTTTGAAGTGCTTTTTGATATTGAAGTGGACCCTGCGGATCTATGCAGAGTGAAAGTTTTGTCGTGCTGGGGCGAGAGGTTCTGCAGTGTCGCATGACAGATCTGGTTTTTATGTGTGAATCTGCATGACAAATTTCCAATTTTTGCTTCTGCAAAAATTTTCAATCGCAGTACTAATTTCTAGTGCGATACGACTTTTGCAAATGCATACCCTGCTGAAAAAGTCGACTACGCGTGGCATCCCGATGTGGCTTTAACCGCAGACGAGATGGAGACTTTGGGAACAAAGCTCCAGACGGCCGTTAGCGCAAATGCGGCCAACATGACCACCCAGGTAACAGTACCTGATCCCGCCGATGCTGTAACAGGAACGGTCCTCGTTACAACGACCACCACAACCACTACCACTCCGACACTGCTACCCAGGGGCTTCGACTTGAAGTTGAACCTTCCAGCAGGTGTCAACAACGTTGCGAAAGCGCTGGAAGATCCCGTGCTGAGGAGCAGTGTGGTTGCGGGTGTATTGGAATTTCTAAATGGGCAGCCGGGTGGTGTAACGCTGACAGCTGATCAGATCGAGAATTTGCAAATCAGGGAAAAGCCGGGGGTGTCGGGGGAGTTTGAAGTGCTTTTTGATATTGAAGTGGACCCTGCGGATCTATGCATTGCAAAAGTTTATTTATCGTGCTCAGGCGAGTAGAGGTTCTGCAGTGTCGCATGACAGATCTGATTTTTATGTGTGAATCTGCATGACAAATTCCCAATTTTTGCTTCTGCAAAAATTTTCACACGCAGTACTAATTTCTAGTGCGATACGACTTTTGCAAATGCATACCCTGCTGAAAAAGTCGACTACGCGTGGCATCCCGATGTGGCTTTAACTGCAGACGAGATGGAGACTTTGGGAACAAAGCTCCAGACGGCCGTTAGCGCAAATGCGGCCAACATGACCACGCAAGTAACTGTACCTGATCCCGCCGATGCTGTAACAGGAACGCTTATTGTCACAACGACCACGTCCACAACCACCACGCCAACACTTCTACCGAGGGGCTTCGATCTGAGCTTGAATTTGGATCTCCCAGGGGACGGCAGCACTGATGTCGCGACTGCGCTGAGTGATATCAAATGCAAATATGTCTGGGTCTGGAAGATTCTGAGACTTGTCATGCGCGTTTTGCATAAGACACGATGTCTGTGATGCATGCCCCAGCGCCACGGACTTTCTGAGGGCTTCTTGATGCCTATTCCGCATCACAAATTATGCCCTCTCAGCGTAGCAAAAATTGCATTCGCTTTGCTGCTCATGCGATACAGACTTTTTTGGAGTCCAAATGTAGCATCACAAGTTGCATTTTTCCAGACCCAGACATATGTGCAATTCATAAGTGACCCCGCACTACGAAGCAGCGTGGTTATATGGAACTGTCAGGATCGAAATTGACAAAATCGAAAAACTTGTGATGCATAAAATGCATGACGCGAAATACGTGTGTTGCAGAACAGGCAAGTGAGGCCGATTGTGAGCCTGTTTGAGGTTATAGCTCGAGCTGCTAGAGCAGCATGAGAGAATCAGTCTTCTTTGCCTAAACAGCATTACAAACTGGATTTAGGCACCACCAGAATTTGTGATGCGCCACTTAGAAACTGGGTTCGAACTGGAATCCATCTTATGCATGACAAATCCTTTCGATTTTGTCAATTTCGATTCTGACACTTCCATAGGTTGCCGGTCTTGTGAAGTTTTTGAACGACCAGCCGGGAATGGGTGGCGTCACCCTGACCGCTGACCAGATCGTGAATTTACAAATCCGGCAAAAGGAGGGGGGAGAATCGGGGCAATTCGAAGTGCATTTTGATGTCGAAATTGATCCGGCGCATGTATGCAGTGCAAAAGCTTTTTTTTACTACAACTCGGATGTTGACGAGTTCTGCGCTGTTGCATGTAGACGCGATCTACCTTGCTTTCTTACTGGAAAAATCTGCATGATTTTATTCTGTTCTTGTTCCGTAAAACTAAAAACAACTTTGCAAATTGCACTTTAAGTGCAACTCTCATCAACTCGTGAGAAAGCCCGTGATGTGAAAGAAGTGCTTTTGGACCACTGCACACCATGCTGATTCAATCAACTCCGCCTGGGATCCCGCCTCGGACTTGCCAGAAACCGCGATGCAAAATTTGGGAGAAAAGCTGCAAACGGCCGTTAGCGACAATGCGGCTAATATGAGCACTAACATCACGGTGCCCAGCACAGCTGTAGGCGGAACGGTCTATGCATTGCAAAAGTATCGTACTCGTGTAAATGCATTGCAAATTTCCTCAGCGTGAGAAATAAAATTTGTAATGCGGATTTCGATTTACCTTAGGAAAAAGATTTGTAATGCAAGTCTTTATACGAATGCGATACTTTTGCACAGGATACGGTCATCGTGACAACGACGACCACTACCACCACCACACCAACACTGCTACCAAGGGGCTTTGACTTAACACTGCAGGTGCCAGCGGACTCCTCCGACGCCGAGATCGACGATGCGCTGCGAACATTGCCGCTACGCGACGCGATAAGGACGGCAGTGGTGCAGTTTTTTGTATGAAAGAGGCCAGTGAAAAGAGTGACTCGATCTGCTGGTGACAAGGCCCTTCTTGTGCAAAGAGGTTGTTTAAATTTGCCACGCAGCTTCAAGTTCAATCATCTGTATAAAGAAAAATTGCCTCGACGAAGAAGATTCATGAAAAGTCAATGAATAGTCTTTTTGCAGTTGATGTTTTATTCGTCCAAGCTTAGGTTGTAGAGGACCTCCATGCAGTAGATCGATACATTTTTTTAGAAAATGCATAGTCTGAAAATAAATTGAACGACGTGACTCTGACGGAGGAGGAGATAGAAAATTTGCAAATCACCAAAAAGCTCGACGCCAGCACCCCTCCCACGGTGGAGGTGGAAGTGACTTTTGCGGTCCGCATTGACCCCGCGCATGCGAGTGCAGTAAACGAGGCTTGGGATCCGGACGCTGTTTTGGGGGGCGAGGCGCTGGAAACGTTAGTCGAGGCAGTGAGAACCGCGTTTAATGCCATGGAGGAGGATCCTATTACCGGTCCTAGTATAATCACGCTGCCCGATATGGAAGCGTCAGAATCGAGATTCGCAAAATCGAAAAACTTGTGATGCACAAAACCGATGCCAGTTGGGGCCTCAGTTTGCAAGCGGCGCAAGACAAATTGCGGGAGCACCCAAATCCAGTCTGTGATGCTGTTTGGACAAAGAAGAGTGCTCCTGTCATGCTACTCTGGCAGCACATTGCATACCCCTAAACAGGCTTGAAGTCGGTCTCTCTTGCCTGCTCCCCAATACAGGCCTGCAGTGCCCTACATTTTGCGCATCACAAATTTTTCGATTTTGTTGATTTCGATCCTGACAGATCCATACCCGAGGCAGGTGCTGGTACAACAGTGGTACAGCCAGTGATTGTGACCACGACCACAATATGCCTTGCAAATACGTCTAGGTCTGGAAGTATGCAACTTGTGATGCTGCATTTGGATTCTACAAAAATCTGTATTGCATGAAAAGCAAAAGAGGTCCAGTTTTTGCCACGGCGAGAGGGCATTTCTGATGCGGTATAAGCATCAGGAAGCCCTCACAAAATCTGTGATGCTAGGGCCTGCATCACAGACATCAGGAGTCATGCAAAATGTAAATGACAAACCTTGCATCCTTGCAGACCCAGCCATATTTGCATTTGATACACAACTACCACTACCACGACCACCACCACGACCCACCCGTTACTACCCCGGGGTTTTGATCTGCAGCTGAACATATCAAATGCAAAAGTGTCTGGGTCTGGAAGAATGCAACTTGTGTGTGATGCTGCATTTGGAAGTCTAAAAAATTTGTGTTGCATGAGCAGCAAAAGGAGAGGGCATCTGTCATGCGGAGTAGGCGGGAAGAATCCCTTTAAATAATTGTGATGCTAGAAGGGCATGCATCTGAGACATCAGGGCTCATGCAAACCGTGCATGACAATTTCCAGACCCGGACATTTTTGCTTTTGATAGAACATTCCCACAGCTAATGTCGCCGATGCGCTCGCGGATCCGGACTTGGCAAACGCAATGATAGGACAGTGCACAACTCCCCCTCCCCCTCATTGGGATGGTATCCGCAGCATTGCAAGTTCTGGCAGAAATGTAGCTTTTGCATGACAGACAAATTTACGACTGATTGTAGTGCTGTTTCGGCTTCGGGAATCTGTCATGCATAGTAGTGGCACAAGGCAGAAGGTGGAGTTGGTGTTTTGCATGAGAAATGAGAACGAGGGGGAGTTGTGCAGTGTCATAAACGAAGGCCGCGGTTGTGAAATTTTTGCAGACCACAGCGGGGTTGAGCGACCTCACTATGGAACAGGTGGAAGACTTAGAGATTAGGCCGAAGGAAGGGACGCAACCACCCAACGTAGAAGTGGAAGTGACTTTTCAGCTGCGGGTATTGTGAGGAAAAGCGTCCCCAAGAACCCAGAGGAAAGATTTGGGGATTTTTTCGCTACACAAACCTAGAAGTTTTTGGAGTCAACACGCATGACAGTTTATTTGGCGTCGGAGTGTAAAAGCTGTGTTTCGTAAAAGTGCATCCACAATAAATTTCAAAACACCGCTAGAAAACGTTTCTTATGGGGCTGCGCATGAGAAACACTTTGAGATTGCAGGTTCTTCGCGTGGCAAGTTCATGGGGTTTTCTGACGTTTTTCCTCAGGATAGCGGGTTGAGCCAGACCTGGTTGACCAGGTCAATGCAGTTTGGAATCCCGACGAACCGATGGCACAGGGTAGCGACGCACTGGCTGCGTTGGGGAGTGCGCTCAAAGAGAGCGTGAATGAGAACGACGAGCTAAACACAGACATGACGGTGCCGGAGACTGGGGGTGTGGAAACAGTCATTGTGACAACGACGACAATATCCAGTGGATAATGATGATGTCGTGCTCTTTGGGTCTGGAAAATAAATGAACTTGTGATGCAAGCCTGGGCAGGATGTCTGTGCGCACTGCAAGACGCAACCAAGCATGACAAGTTTCTCAGCTCCTATGTTTTATTCTTGCGTATAATTCCGCATCGCAGGAGTGGCAAACTGTGTTTTTTCCTGACAGGCATTCTTCGTGACCATATGCGTCTTCACAGCAAATGCAGGATCATGCCAGACAAGCAGGACAAAAGATCTAGCCTTTTTCCGGACCCAAAGATCAATATTTCCGAATCCATAGACCACCACGACGACCCTCGATCCAAACAGTTCCCCACCGCCCACGCAGCTCCGGGCCTTGCAATTTGGTCTCAACGCGGGGGAAACCAAGACAACCGAGGAAAGCCAGGCGCTGCTTGCCAGCGCGGATTTCCGGAATGCGATTGTGATCGGGTTGCGAACGTTTTTCGTGGAAAAAAATCCGGAATTGAGTGAGGATTTATCGCTGGAAGACTTTCACCCCGTGGACATCAGCTTGGCGAGTGGCGGTGGTGCTGCGTCTGCTCTGTCGTCGTTCATACAAATGAAGCAGAAAAAGACTGGTCTGTGGTCCAGCACGACAACACGGGGCAGTAGGCTTCTACAGGAGGAAAGAAGAAGTGGTTCAAAAAGAACTGCTTTTACACCATCACCTACACGGACTTCGCCCTCATCTCCTTCCCTACCTCACACAGCGGACGAGAGTCCTCACAACGAGACTACTTTCGCTAGTGTCAAGAAAAGCAGAAAACCGCGGAAACTTATCAGGGCTGATTACGAAGAGGGTGATCTTCATGATTTGCAGCAGCAAGAGCAAAGAGTTCTTGTACGCAGCAGAAGTGAAGCCGAGTCTTCTTTTCTGGAGGAAGACCACAGCGAAATAAATGCAAAGGTGGCTTTGAAGAGGATGAAGAGCAGCTTGGCCGTGAATGTGCAGTTCGGCATAACGCCCAGCTCCGCTGATCTGGAACAGAAACTGAACAATATCAAAATGAAAAATCCCCCCTCCCCATAGTGAAAGCGCATCCATCTGAAAATTTGTGATGCAGATTTGTGACCACAAATCTTGGTACAAATCTTGTCTGTCTTGCAAGAAGGCAGGTCCAGGCTGCCCGGCACGTTAAGCGGGCGATTTGTAATGCTGTAAGGCCTACAGGGCAACCGTCTTCCATGCTAGGCGCCTACGCCAAAAGGCCCCTACCTAGGCTCACGATCTGCGTGCGGTGCTCTACTGCAACACAAATTTGCTTTGTGTACTGAAATACAGCATCACAAATTTCGTTTTCGATATGGGGTGGTGGCTTTTTTCACTTTGATAAACAATGTTTGGCCTTCAGTCCCGGCCGGGTCCATCCCCACGCCAGCGGACGAGAGCACGCTGGGCTCCGCGGCTGCCATGTCATATCAAATGCAAACATGTCTGGGACTCGAAAAACTTGCGATGCGGAGCTGCGAATAAGTTAAATCGGAACAGTTGTGCGGGCAGCCAAGCATGACAAGTTTTATTTAAAGCGCTCCCCTAATATAATTGCTACTGCGCATGACAAATTGCGTTTCTGCCCGCGGCCTCGACGAGAAGCTGCTGCACTTTTGTCGGTTATGCAATACAAGCAATGTTGCCAGATAAGCATGACAAGCTCCGCTTTTGCTCTAGACCCACACGACAGATTTGCATAATGCATAGGTCGAGCCTGGTGACGACGTTGGGTCAAAGTGTCGCGACAGTCGATTACAGCATCACGCTATCCTGTGCAAAAGTATCGCACTCGTACTAATCGCGTTCATGCATTACAAATTTCTTTCTCAAGTGAAATCTGCATTTACAAATTTCATTTTTCATCATACTGAGGAGATTTGTCATGCGATTCATACTAGTACGATGCTCTTGCATTTCATACACGCTCACCTCCAATCCCACTAGCAACGATGAACAGGAAAAAATCGAGGAGGCACCGAGAGAGGAATCCGCTTACGACTCTATGCATTGCAAATATGTCTGGGTCTGAAAAGTTGGAACTTGTAATGCTGGCCCTACATTCCTGTGAAGTCTGTATTGCATGACCGACAAAAGTCGTAGTCTTATACAAAAACGCAGCTTCTCTTTCTGATGCGGAGTGCGTATGAGAAAGCGTTCTGCAAACTTGTCATGCTTTCCTGCATAAGAAAGTGTTTTCATCATGCACATTTTAGCATTACAACTTTCCAGACCCAGAGATATTTGCATTTGATAGGCTCTGGAGATTCCCAAGATTTCACAAAGATGTTGCTCGTCGGCGCGGGCGGTTTGTTACTGTTACTGCTGCTGGGCGGTTTGTTGCTGCAGCGTGGTGCAGCCCCCGCGGGCGGCGCCGGAGCATTGCCTTCTGCTTCCGGGAACAATCGGGGTGCTGCCGCCCGGCGGCAGCGGCCCGCTGCGCAGGCTCGCGGCTCTGGGTCCGCGTCATCGTCGTCATCGTCGTCGTCATCGTCGACGGATGGAGGCGAATATGGATTGAAAATATCGATCTGGGTCTGGAAGCAATCAAACTTGTGATGCGCATTTCAGAACACAGAAAAACCTCTCATGCATAGGTAGCAAAAGCTCAAGCTGCCCACTTTCTGTCACCAAAGTGGGGGACTTGTCATGCGGATTCGGTATTGCGGAAGCTTCTCGAAAGAACCTGTGTTGCTAGAGCTTTCATGCCAGACCTTCTTGTGTCATGCAAAAACAGCATGACATAGACATTCTTCCAGACCCAGACATTTTTGCATTTTATAGCGAAGAGCCCGCTGAGAAAAAAGAAGGAGACGAGACCCCCGGTGAGACAAAAGAAGGAGACAAGACCCAAGAGGACAGCGAGGGGAAAGAACAGAAAAAAGATGTTGATGTTGACCCAAACACTGCGACTGTGAAGCCAACAGACGGGGCCGCGGTCGCGGAAAAGGATGCTACGAAGGCCAGTGCCACAAACGTCGGAGGGGATGGGCCACAGGAAGGAAGTGCAGCTGCCATAGGGAACAACCAAGACAGCGCGGCTATCACCGGGGGTTCCTCTGCGGCTCCCGTGAACGCCTCGGGCGTCGGCGCGGCCAATGTTTCCGGGGTCAATCTGTCTGCAGTGAATCTGTCCGGTGCCGCGAATGTTTCCGGCGTCAATTTGTCTGCAGTGAATCTGTCCGGCGCCAACAACGCTTCCACTGCGGCTAACGCGTTATGCATGGCGAATGTGTCTGGGTGTCCTCGAAGCGTTCCAACTTGTGATGCACAATCTGGGTCACACAAAAATTTGTGTTGATGCGTGAGCGCCAAAAGCAGCCCATCTTTTGCTACGCAAGTACTTTAGCTTATTTCTCATGCGAGGCAGGCATCAAGAGGCCTGCGCAAAACCTGTAAGTAATGCTGTTGTGTGCATTAGAGACCACCCGTGTGATCTACAAAATGCATGACAAACGTTTGAATTCATCCAGACTCAGACAGCTTTTTAATGCATACCCGTCGGCGATTAACAACTCGGGTCTCAACGCCTCCGCCCTGCAGTCCGGAGTCAATAATTCGTCTGCGGTGATGAACAGTATGCAACACAAATTTTCTACACACAGAAGTACATTGTACTTACAAAATGCATCACAAATTCTGGCAACGTGGAACAAGTGCAGCATCTGTAATGCTGACGAACCTACAAGACAAGCTTTCGCTTTTACAAGAACGCATTTATTTGTAGTTGTACGCGTGGTCTTCTACGGTGGAAATTTACGGTGCATAAATTATTCTGGCGTCATCAACAACTCCTCTGCGATCGGAGGCAGTGCCTCGCCACGCGGCTTCGGCGGGAATTTGTCCGGACTCGGTGGAGCTTCGGCACTTGGTGGAGCTTCGGCCTTCGGTGGGGCTTCCGCACTCGGTGGAGCTTCCGCACTCGGCGGCGCGTCAGGACTCGGCGGGGCGTCAGCGCTGGGCGGCGCGTCGGCACTAGGCGGGGCGTCGGCGCTCGGTGGGGCATCTGGATTGGGTGGCATGTCCGCGTTCGCCGGGAGTAAACCGCCCAGCGTATCGAAAGGAAAAATCCCCCCTCCCCGTGTCGAAAACGATTTTTCTCATGCTGTATTTCAGTATACAAATCGACTTCTATTGCTAGAAGGCCAAGGGCCGCAGTTGTAGCCTCGCTTGCAGGCGATTTCTCATGCTGTTCCCACTTTTCAGCTGCCTCCTGTCATGCTGAAGAGGCAAGGCTTTCCCACGCCACCCAGCACTACACTCCGCATCTTTTCCCTTCTAGCATGACAAAGCTGATTCGTGACTACAAGTCTGCAGCACAGATTCCGGCTTTCGTATGGGGAACGCGGGTTTTTCTTCTTGATACAGCGCCGCGGGGAGTCGGGTACCCAGCAACGCGGGGAGTCGGGTACCTAGTGCCGCGGGGAGTCGGGTACCCAGCAACGCGGGGAGTCGGGTACCTAGTGCACAGCCGAGCCCGAGGGGCCAGTAGTGATCATCGGTATAATAGGCGTGTTTTTTTTTTCAAAGCGATCATAGTTAGATACCTTCGTAGACATCACCTGCAAAAAGCGAGATCAGACATCAAGACCGGTCGTCCCGGATCGACACCTGAATTTCAATCGTAAGTATACTTTTTCAGTCAACTGAGTTATTTCAATCGTAGGTATAGTTAGTGGCAATGAAGGTTTTTTTATGAAAATCTTAATCAATCAGCAGTTTTTGCGAATTGCGAGCGATATGAGTTAATCCACGAGTTTTAGTAGAGCACGGCTCAGTTTATTTAGACAAAAACTTTTAGCAAGCACGAGATACGTAATATGCGAAAAACAAAGCTCATGCTTGAGCGCATGAGAAGCAAAGGCTTCAATAGCAAGGCCTCCTCGCGATGCCGCACAGGAAGTTTTGCTGGCGTTTTTTTTTTGAAAGTATGCTCCATCTGGATGGAAGGCGATCCAAAGCGGCAGCCAAAGTCCATCGTGGTCGCAAGAGCTCAAAATCGAAGAATTTACTTTATTGAGTACAACAGATACAATTTGTTGTTTTTCACTTTTCACTATACGCTGTATACCTCCGAGACAAAGTTTCTAATTTTCGAGTCGTGGCAAAAAATAAGAACCAGGCAATGCAGTTTTCGAATCATTTCCAGCTTTCTTCATCAGATGTAAAATACTACAATAAGGACCACGGGAAATTGGCAGCCACACGGCCACGGCTGTGTCCTGTCCGGCGGCAGTTTTTCTATATTTCCGGTCGTTAGTAGAGATCTTCAAGAACGCGGCATGTTTCTCATGTACAATTCTATTCCCATGATTTTGATTATTCCGATATTTGGTGATAAAGTGCGATGCTGAATACTCAAATAAGGATCTTATTAGAACTACGAGGGCGGCGCAGCGCGGTCGGCAAGGAATATAAAGTTGCTCGCGCAAGAGGGCCTTCTTGGCCGCCACAGGGGTTGAGTTTTTTAAAAATGAACAATGGTAGTATGGACTTTATTTCTAAGTACAAAATTACGCTATTCCAACCAGTTTGTACAAGTAAAGTTGCGAGGAAGAAATAGATTAAAAAGGAACAGGAGATGAATTATGCCAGTGTCCTCCGCCGGGAAAAAAGCGGAGGGGCACGAGTTCTTGACCCATCATGTCCTTTGCTTTTCCGCATTGAATTTTTGATTCCTCGGCGAAAATTCGCGTCGTCGATAATTCGTTTCGCCGTGCTTCATGTTGTCGTGAACTTATTCACCTCGTTTTTCGTTCTTGTCCCTCGGTGAATCAAGCGATCGATCGATGATGTGAGCGACTACTTCGACGCTGTCGATGGAGGTGAACAGAGAGTACTTCAATGGTTTGTGGCGGAGGTTGCGGAGCAAGGTTGGTGCATTTTTTGCAATGCTAAGTTCGTGACTCTCTTTCTTATTGTTTATTTGGTGCTGCTATCCCGTGTCGTTTCCATCGTCAAGGCGTTTCGGCCTCGTCGATCACATTAATGACCACGCCGGTACTCTTCACTAAAAGAACATGTTGTCATCTGCTCATTTCTTTCCACTGTGACGCTTGCCAATCCCGCCAGCGCAATTGAGGAGAAAACGAAACAAAAAACGAAGGGAATAGAAAGAACTGTGACGGAAGTAGAACTTACGCCGATGTATAGTACCACCTCGAGTCGTCTGTTCTGCTGCTGTGAGTCTTGATAATAGCGGCCACTCATTCGTGCTGATTTTCGTGCGGAGATTGGGTCTACGTTGCGCAGAACATCAGTAATTTTTCCCCTACACAACTTTCCACCGCTTCGCCCATCATGCCGGAAGTTCTGCGCCTGCCGGCGATGATCCCGTACTACTGCCATCGGCAGGCTCCGGATCCGATCACGGTGAATATCAAATGCAAATATGTCTGGGTCTGGAAGAACGCAACTTGTCATGCTAATTCTGGATAGTGCAAAAATCTGTGTTGCATGATCACCAAAAGCTGTCCACTTTTGACCAAGCTGAGAGGTAGTTTCTCATGCAGACGAGGCATGATAGAGGTCGGCGTCGGGGAGAATCTGTCATGCTGGGTCATGTATGACAGACCTCACGCGTCATGAAAAACCTGCATGACAAGTCTTCCAACATTCCAGACCCAGACATATTTGCATTTGATAGCGAATCTGGAAACGCAGAGCTCCTCTTCTTCAAGCTCGAAGAAAAAGGAATCCTACGGGAGTCGAATAGGTACTTGAGCTACACCGTGTAGAAGTTCCTGAAATTTTTCTTTTTACGATGCGTAGTGCAAGGCCGCGGGAGCACAAATCGTTGTCATGACTCCAAGAACGAAGGGTGAATAAAGGAAAACAATAAAACTTAAACCACATCAAAACAGCGAAACAGCAGAAGTGCGCGTTTGACAACTTAGAGCAGGCCTACTGGTTTGGTGGCCGCGACGAGCGGTTCCGCACGAAGCGCCCCGAGCGGTTTGTCATGCTGCCGCAGCTGACCTTGGAGAATGTGAAGCTCTTTCTGGTGCACTACCACGGGTCGTTGCGCAACGCCTTTAACTATCAAAATGAAAAATCCCCCCTCCTCGTATCAAAATGGAAATTTGTGATGCTGATTTGTGGTCAAAAATCATTTTTGTCTTGCCTATAGGGCCAAAATGAGCTATGTGGGTCATTCCAAAGTCAATCTGTCATGCGCTTTCGGCTACTGCAAACCTGTTTACCATGGGTAATTGCTAGAAGCCTTCTGCATAGTACCCAAACAGGCTCCGACAATGCCGCCAAGCACTTTCTGCAAGAGAAATCAGATCTGTGTACGCAAATCCAGCATCAGCAACTTCGTTTTGATCATATGGGGAAGAGGGATTTTTCTTCACAATATTAACGCGATGGATTTCATTCGAAACGGGTCGATATCGCCGATGGAGTGGTCCGAATCCGTGTGGGGGATGATAAGGAGCAAGCGGGGGCATGACATGGACCAACACAATTTCAGTACACTGTTTTATTGTTGTAGTACCGATCTTCGGGCATCGGCATGCGCATGAGCATGACAGAGTCTGTTTCTCAACCCTGGTTCGCATGACAAATCGTATTACTATTATCCAAGAACTCACCTAATAAAACAAAAACTACCCAGCCGAGCTTCCCCGACGGCAGTACGATATCATGATGAACAAACTGTTCCGCCTTATCGACTTTGACGGCAGTGGCGAAATCTCGTTTGACGAATTCTCCATACGCAGTGCAAAAGTATCGTATGTAGTGAGGTCACCGAACGGTTCTAGCCAGGGAGTTTTTTTGACAGCTACCCTCAAAAACGGCCGGCAGTTTTCAAGCGGCCGGAAGCGTTTTTTGACATAAAACATTTTCAATTATCAAGTGAGCGGGGCTTTGCCATCAACCAAGCCCGGTCGAAAACTATCGATTCGCACTTGATAAAACGACACAGGGGAGCCGGCAAAAGGGGCGCCCTTCTGAGGCGCCCACCGCCTTGGTTTCTGGCGATTTGGGGCGCCCAAAAAGGGGCGCGCAAAAAACGCGCCCAAAATCAGAACAGCGAAACAGCATGGCACGGCCGCGATTTCGGAGCATTTTGGGCCGCCGCTAAAGCGGCCGCCTTTTCGCCGGTTTTAGAGCCTGGGAAGCTTTTCAAAAAGCGCCGGCGTGAAAAATAAAAACGCGAAAAATAAAAAGCGCGCAAGACGCGCAAAGCCAATCCGCATGCTATCGGCCCGGTTTTTCTTCGCTTTTTGGGCGCCCCATGTGGCACCCGGATCGGCCCCATAGCATCGGGGCTGGCTTTCGGAAAGGAATTTTGGAAATGTGCCAAAATTTGCGACGTTTCCCATGTGGCCGCCATACCGTGCGGCATAACGTTACTCGCGGTGGTATGGCGAGCCCATAAAAAGCAAAGCCGCGGCCAAGACTTCGGTCGGCAAAAAAACGCCCACGACCTCACTACCCCCGCCCCGGCGGCTATATTTGGTACTCGTAATATAAATGCATTACAAATTTCCTTAGCGTGAGAAATGCAAATGAAATTTGTAATGCTGATTTACCTTAAGAGAAAGATGTGTAATGCATGATTGCAATACGAGTACCGTGCGATACTTTTGCACAGAATACTCCAATGCGCACGACGAGGTGTTTCACAACCCGCACATGTTCACGAACCAGCGCGACAAGGAGATGGAGGAAGCACTGCACGCGACCACGTTAGCGGATGAGCTAGAGGAGCAGCGGCGCATATCCCACGAAAAAACTGTTTCACTGTGATGATTTTGCAAGATCTGCATCACAAGTTTGTTACACATGACACTGAAAATCTGTCATGCGCGCTTCCCGAGGGAAAACACGCTTGAAAATCCAATGTCTTGCAGGTGTAGCAAGACAAATACTTCTGTGTTCCATTTTCTGCATCACAAGTTCACAGTGAAACAGTTTTTTCTTGCGATAGCGCAAGGACCACATGCGCTCGGAAATGGGAAACACCCGGAGTAGCAAGACGGTGAGCAACGAGGAGTTATTACTTCGGGGGTTCTATCAAATGCAAAAATGTCTGGGTCTGGAACTTTGCTCGACTTGTCATGCAGGTTTTCCATGACCCATATGATCTGAAATGGAGGACCTAGCATGACAGATTCCTTGAGATCACTATCATGCGTATCCTGCATGAGAAACTGCCTCTCAACTTGATCAAAAGTGGGCAGCATTTGGCAATCATGCAACACAGATTTTTGCGTGATTCAGAGTTAGCATGACAAGTTCCAACCTTCCAGACCGAGACATTTTTGCAGTGCATAGATTGTCGCAAGAAGAGATTGAGATCGACGAGGACGAGAAGAACCGCCGCGCCTTCACCGCAGTGTTACTGTCGAAATACGAGAATTACGCATTGCAAAAGTACTATGTATCGTAGTAGTATGAATTCTTGCATCAAAAAGTTAGAAGTTTCTTTTATCAGGAAAAGGTGGTCTGTCATGCAGGCACAGAAAAAAGTAGAGGATTTGTCATGCTGTATTGAAGGTGCAAAGTGCGGTCGTAGTACTTTTGCGCAGCATAAACACTTCGACGAGGCGTTCAAACAACTAGACGTGAACAATTCCGGTGGGTTGTCCCCCGTGGAGTTCCAGACCTATGCCTGTGCAAATATGTCTGGGTCTGGAAGAATCCAAACTTGTGGTCATGCTAAATCTGAAGCGTGCAAAACCTGTGCTGCGTGACGCGCAAAAGCTACTTCTACCCACTTCCTGCCACCAAAAAGGCGAATTTCTCATGCAGAATAGGCATTAAGAAGCTGCTACAAGAAACAGATTTGTGATGCTACCGGGTGCAGCATTCTTTCCAGACCATCTTCGCTGTCCACGAGATGCGTGACAAACTTTTGTCTCTACTTCCAGATATCCAGACATATTTGCACTGGATAGGACCGCCTGCCAGCGGATTCGGTTCGAGGGGGAGTGGCGGCCGATTTTTCAGCACTTAGACCAAGATAAAGACGGGGAGGTGTTGAAGTCCGACTTCACCATACTCGTGCGGCCACCGAAAAAGGCGATAGACGCGGCGCGAAAGGCCAGTGAAGACTTCCGGAACTATCGCAAGAAAAAAGGGTTTCACTGTAAACTTGTAATGCAGAAAGTGTATCTGAGAAGTGTTTCTCTTGCTACACATGCAAGACAATGGCTTTTTAGATGTGTTTTCCCTCAGGAATCTCGCATGGCAAATTTTCCCTGTAGTGTAGAACAAGCTTGTGATGCAAAATGACTATGCAAAATCCTTACAGTGAAACACTTTTTTCGTACGATAGGAACTATTCGAAATTTAACGCGGAAAAGGGAACCATGAAGCCAGAATCGCTCCTGCCGAGACATGTACTATTTGCGTTTCCTATTCCAGTTTGAAAGAACAAGAAGCTGTTTCGTTAACCCCTAGCTAGGTTTTTAGTGCAGTGAGAGTTCTGATGCTGTCCTCGTTGTGAATCTAGAGTAAGACGAACAACAAACAGCGGCTCGTCATAACTTTTTGCTTCAGACAAATTTATTTGTTTCTGTGGTCACTTACGCCTGCTGCGCATGACAAATGAAACAAAATCATTCTCGTCCTAGGTCTACTTCCGGCGGAACCTGCCCCACTTGGACAAGCAGTTGGGCACTTTCTCCCGCCTCCCCTGTCGCCGCATGGACACGGCGTTCCAACCCTCGGAGCTGCCCGGAACGGACACGATGAATTACTCGCCGGATCTGGGTCCCGGGTCGTACATTCTCCCCTGGGATGAAGATTTTGAGTACGGGAAGGAAAAAAAATCGAAGGCCAAGCTCGTCGGCAGAGTTACGAAATCAGCGGGGAACAGCCCCAGTGACGATTCCGAGCCGGTGGGATCTAGTACAACCTCGAGCAGAGGGAGACCGCCATTCAACAAGTATTTCTGAGTGACATAAGTCACAGCATAGGTCGGTGGGCGAAGCAGTGGGGCGGCTCTGCACGGTATTTTTCCGAGCTGCTCGTGACAAGAAGGTTAAAAGCAAATTAAGACGGATGGAAATTTCTTTTTAACAAGTTGGAATGATTGACTGACTTTGTAAAATTATATGGTGACAGCACGAAGAATAATGACTAAAGTAAGACAGACGAAGACGCAGATGAGTATATATTGCTGTTGACAGCTAGAAGGAGAATAGGAATCAACACGAACAGCTGCAGAGCGAGCAATTAATGCTAGTAGACAAACTTTTGAAGTTTGACAAGTTCTACAAAATCTCCTGTACCTTGCTTGTATCAAAAATGTGGAACTTATTGCAACACTCTACTTTTGAGTGTTGCAAATCGAATGAACTCCTATACGTAATTTTGTGCTTGAAAATAAGATAAAAAAAAAATGATTACGCGTACCCGCGCGCAGTTCGAAGATGCCGCTTTTATCTTCGAGCGGGCTCTCGACGGTGCAACGTGTTGACAGAATCAACTGTGGAACGAGTTGACTCTGTGGTTCACAAGGTGTTCGACGACGCAGGGGTGCGGGCGCGGCCTTCCTGTCTGCGAAGAAAACAAATGCTTCCCTAGGCCGCCCACTGGTTCTTGGCGACGATTATATCTCTTTTGAGGAAAAAGGCGATCCTGCTGCTGGTGAAGGATTTTTTGAAGGCGGGAAGTTCTGCTACGGCACGACGTTGTTTTCCCTTCTCCACTTTACAAATGCCGGCTCTTCATTTCCAAGCTGGCTTGATGTTTTCCATCGGATCTTTCAATTTCTGATTCTAATTTTTCTTTTGTTCAGGCAACGGGTGGATCTTCTTTCGAGTGTCCAAACTGAGGAAGACAAGTTTAGGTGTGTAGGATAGTGGTGTTTGATATTTTCTAGAGCTGATATTTTTTAGTCTCACTTTGTTTCTTTTTCATCTTACATGTCGCCACATGAGAGAGGTCGCATTCGCTAGTATTTTCAGACCGGATTTGTTGACGCACGATAATGCTCCCGATCATGCTCACTTTTTTTGCAACTTTAGTCGGCTAGAATTTTCCGTAAACCACTAAAAAGATGATAAACCGCGCAACCCCGAATCTGCTTCCAGCTGGGCATACGTCCCCAGCGGGCTATAGCGCTGGCGCAATGACTACGCGTATTGGAGCTGGGACAGCGACTGCTACCGCGCTACCGCAGAAGAAAGCCCGGATTTCGCAATTTGATTTGCTGTGGAAGGTGGCGAACGAATACTGGACGGAGGAGAACTTTTTGCTCCAGTTCGAATTTTTTCAACAACAGGAAGGAACTAATAATAGCAATCTTCAAGCGCCGCCAACAGCACTCAACACGAAAGCTGCCTTTGGCACGACTTCTAGCAAGCAGCCTCTGTTGAACAACAATCAGAACAATGCGGCAACAAGTAGGATAAGAACGACCAAGGACCAGTCTACCGAGCTCGGGGAGGCCAACACTCGGCCCTGCGTTTACCACCGGTTTTCCCACTCGCTTGCGTGGGAGGTTCTTCTGCCAGTGGTACTAGCGTCTACTCCATCTGCAAGTTTGATGAAGACAACCTCATTTCCCCTCAACACACGACCGGAAGTTCTTTCATCTGTTACAACTACTGCGAGTGGTGGTTTCCAGAATAGGAGAAAATCTTCCGGTGGTGGATCAGCATTCAATAAGTCAGGATTGTCCTCGAGTACTAGTAGTGATGCGAACAGTACTGTAACACTGCAGCCGCAGGAGTTCTCCGCTTTGGCCACGGGCCCGACGAGGAGTTTCGCGAAAGCCGCAGCGGTGCGGAATTTATTGCAGCAGTTGAATTTTGGCGACCTTGTGGACCTCGAGTTTGAGAAGGGGTTGAAAAAAGAACTTCTCGCGGTAATGGAGTTTCTCCGGGCGTTTGTCCGTGTCGTGCAGAACAGTGAACAGACGGAGAGCGAGAAGGTGGGAGAGTTTTTGAATCTCTTGGAAAAACTAAAATCCCGGTTGACTGCTGCTGCGGCGCTTGTTGTATTGCCGTCTTCAACGATAATATCGAAGGACGGAGAAGGAGAGCCGGCCGGGAATGCAGCGAAGAGACGAAGAACGGAGAATTGGGGAGCTGCTATTAGTACTACTGGGGCGACCTCCATCCGAGAACCAGGCGGAGCACTGGCAGCAGCGTCCGAGCAGAATGATAAAAGACCCGCAACTACTGCGACCTCAGCTGCCACGCCCCCCTCCTCATCTCTCGGCCACTTCCTGTGGGCTTTCATTCCCTTCCACTACATTTGGGAGTTCACCCTCGCACACGCGGTGAATATGGAAGCACAAGTCAACCGCTTGTTCAAAACTTTACCTATCGTTGAGGAAGATCATAACAAGTACCCGTTTCCGTTAGATTACTGGGAAGAACTCGTGGAAAGCAGCCTTGTGCACGTGAGGGGTGTGAATAACATGCTGGTCGCTGCCGTCCCGGCCGCGCCGGCGCAGAGTACTTCTAAAGTGGTCGCGCCAACTTCTTTTACTACAGCAGTGGCTGCTCCTGCTTCGGGTGACTCGTCAAAGAACGTTATCACCGGCACCGGACCCGCCTCTTCTTCGTCTACTGTTCCTGTAATCGTGCAACAACCGCCTCAACACGCTCACCATGTAATCAATCCGTATCAAATCGAGGAGCGCTACAACCTGGCGACCCGTGCGCTGTACCATCTAGGGAACAAAACTGAGAAGCTTCTTCACGACAAATCATTTTGCGACGCGGACAGCAAAAAATACTTTCACCATTTTCGCCACGCTCTAGCGGTCGAGCGGGCCCAGGAAATCGCACAGAAGGTGGGGGGGGCAGGAGCACTGATTTCCATTTCCAGTGGTGGTGGCAGCAGTTCCTCTGCAGGTCCACAACAGCACCAGCCGTTCGACAGAGGTTCTGGCGGTCCGCCTGGTCGAGATCAGCAGAATTTACCGCTTTCCCTCGAAGTGGGCGCGACGGTTTACCAGTCCGGGTTGTTGAAGCAGGTGCTGAATCCGACCACAAATACCCTCTCCGTCGAGCCAGCCGAGGTGGAGCGAAAAAATCACAGCAAGTCCCTGACACAGCAGAGCCACGCGAATTGGGTGAAGAACACGAAAAAGACGCCGTTGGGGGCGCTGCAAGTCATGAAGTTTGCAAACGCAATTTCGTATTCAAGTAATCTCCAGTTCCGGGAAATCCGGGAAAACGATTTATTAGTCTTATCGCAGAGTACCACCAACGGCTTTTACATCGCCCGGGTGGTGGGGAAAAAGGACTTTTTGAAAAGAGAATTTCTCATCCAGGTGGAGAGCTTCTGCGGCACTGGTAGTAGTACAAGTGTAAGAAGAACTTCATCAAACGCAGCAGTACCATCAACCGTAGCTCCCCCTGATCATGCGAACAATCCGCACGACAAGAAAAGCTCTCTGCTATTGCTAAAGGGAACGACGTGGACCGCCGTGAAGCTGGATTCGGTTGTTTACGACCGACAGGTCACAGCGTTGCACGAGTTTTGCGCGACGAGGACGACTACAACGAGTGGTGTGCTGACGAAAATAAATTCAGCAGCGCCAATTTCTGCTCAACAAAATAAAGAACACCACCCGCTCCTGCGCCAAATCCTTCTTGGCAGGACGAAGGAACGAACGCAGCAGAACAGCATCAATTTCTACAGCTCGAAAGCGAAACCAAAAGAGGGGCTCAACGCTTCCCAATCGGCCGCGATTGATTCCGCCCTGCAAGAACCGCTGACGATCATCCAGGGGCCGCCTGGAACGGGGAAAACTTTAATATCAAATGTAAAAATGTCTGGGTCTGGAAGAGTGCATGTTTGTCATGCTTGTCTGGCATGACTCTTCAATCTGGTATGCGCGTTACCCAAGATCCCCACTTTTCTGTCATGCAGAAACGCAGGCTGTCATGCAGAATAGGCAACACCTAGAAGCTCAGAAACTTGTCATGCTGAGCCAGCACTTGTGGCCTCCTCATGATACGCCACCCAGCATCACAAGTTTCCAGACCAAGACGCTTTTGCATTTGATGCTTAACTTGCTGTCGCATTTTGAAGTCGTGGCTTTCTGGCATCGTGTATTGAGAGGAAAAATCCCCCCTCCCCATATTGAAAAGGTATGTTCGCAAGAATTTGTGTTGCGGATTTGAGGTCACAAATCACATCTGTCTTGCAAGAAGACAAGGGCAGAAGCTTCCGCCCCATTATGGAAGCGATTTGTCATTCTGCTGGGCTTAAAGGGGGGCCGCTTGCCATGCTGAACTACTAGATCCATACGCCCCTCCCTAGCCTGGGGATCTGGCCGCAGTGCCTCTCTGCAATACAAAGGTGGTTTGTGGTCACAAATCAGCATCACAAATTTCCGTTTTGATATGGGGAGAGGGGATTTTTCATTGTGATATCGTGGCGAAGAATAAGATGGATAGGAACAACGCCAATAGCAGCTCGGCGATGTTGATGGGTCAACAATCCGGGAGAAGAAATAACAGCACTGGTTCCTCCGGTGGAAACAACAAAAAATCGACCACGACCAAGATACTCGCCGTGGCAGATACAAATATCGCAGCGGATAACCTGTATTATGGGTTGAAAAAGCTGCTTTTGGAACAGCAAACCACGAGCGGGTCTTCGTCTACTTCGGGTGGGGGGCAACTACATGCTGGCGGCACGCTGAAACAAGGACAAACCCTATGTCATTGGAAAAAACTGCCCTAATCATGTCTTCACCGCTGTGGGGACGATGACGTAGCAAGCTCTGATGTATCAGTATGTTGACAGACTAGGAGAGAGTTATCCATGATTCGAATGATCACGAAAAGACATTGCTGTAAGACCACGCTGGTACAGTTCGTTCTTGTTGCACTCATTTTAGTACCAAGTATGCGAAAAACTACACGTGCTCGCGCACCACAGTAGGAGAGGACTACTACATGGAGCATAATTTTTCTCGTTTTATAACTTCCCCAAATCGCGAGGATAGGCGTGAACGCCGACGGGGATCTGTTGGAAGAACAGCTGAAGTCCCACGCTCTGTACTCAAGGCTGAACAGCTACAGAAATAACGAAGAGAATACAACTTCTAGTGGACATAACGCATCAAACAGTGGCACGAATAAATCTGCCGTCGAAATTGCGAAGTTGCGGCAGCAAATGACTTTGGACATCGCGGAGCAAGCCATTGTGCTGATAAGCACGAGCGTCGGCATCGCAAACCCCATGTTTGGCTGCGGAAACAACAATAGTATGGGGACGTCGAACATGTTGCGCCACAGTGCAGCTGCAGAAGGCGCTGCAACAGGAGGAGGAGTTACAGCTACTTCCAGTTTTGTTTTCGAAAAGATTTTGATCGACGAGTGCACGCAGGCGACGGAGGTTTCCTCTCTTGTCGCGCTGACGAAGGGGGGAAGCGCGTTGAAATCTCTCGTGCTCGCCGGGGACCACATGCAGCTGCCCCCGACGGTCGTGTCCCGGTCGGCTATCGTATGTAAAAACGTGGTCACCACCTCAGAGTTGTGATGCATGTTTGCAACGACAGGGTTACATTTGTAATGCGGTTCTACATGAGAGGCATGTCCTGTATCGTGTTTTGGCATTTGTGGTGCTGTAAACAGGATAAGGAGATGGGTTTGTGGTGCGACTGTCCTTGCTAACCTGTACTACATTACAAGGGCGAACTTGTCATGCATCAGTCCCAAAACTTTTGGATTTGTGTTGCAGACTTCCCAACTTGACTCCGGGGTGGAGACGTTTTTACAAGTGATATCGGCGAAGGCTTGTTTATCGCTGTCTTTATTCGAGCGGCTAGTTTCGAAACTGCAGTATGGCCGGTTTTTTCTGGATACGCAGTACCGCATGAGAAGTAGAAAATTGTTGGACTTTGTCAACAAGGAGTTTTACGGGAGTAAGTTAGGGGATGGATTCGGTGGACTGGCTGACGAAGGAGCTGAAGCGAGCCAAGCATGTTTGGAAACAGGACAACCGGTTGGTCGTGCGGAAAGAGAAACGGCTCCGTCTCCCCTCGAAGTTCCGGCTATAATTGCTGCGCGCGAGAAAGCTGCCACACGTCCTCTTCCCGATCTCGCACTGGTGGTAAAAGATGGTATCCGGGTAGACCAGGGCCCCTGCTCAGACCAGGGCCCCTGGGACCAGGGCCCCCAGGACCAGGGCCCCTAGGACCAGGGCCCCTAGGACCAGGGCCCCTACGGATTGGGGCCCCTGCGGACTGAACGGCATCCCGGAATCTGGTACACGGCGCGGCGCGGCCGGAAGCGGAGATGTCTACCAGCGGATCTTCCAGTCGAAATAATCTGGGCCACCAAGTAAGTATGCATGTCATGGGACTCCTAGTATCTGGCCAGGAGGTAGAAGAAGGTAGGCCACAAGTAATATGGGACGCAGTCGGCTGACTACTCAGAGCATTTCTCTCACTTTCTAGATTCCTCGACGCGCGTCGGCGTCACAAGTTCTCAGTTGTGCAGACCCAGATCTATTTACAATGCAACGGGCATCGTTTTTTTTTGTAGTCAGCCACGTACTTGAGCTTCTCCGTCTGTCTTTTTTGGGTGGTGTCGTTGAGGAATCTTGTGCATTTTTTCCCTTGATGATGCTTGTCTGAACGATTATTCTGTAAATCTCCGCCCTTTGGGTGATGCGTTTCTGGCTGGCAATCCAGCTGGAAACAATTGGAAAATGCATCTGCAGCGCATTTCCGCCTGGAAATGCAGCTGCAGATGCCTTTTCAAAGCTTTTCTAGCTGGGACTCCAGTTGGAAACATGCAGAAAAGGCATCTGCAGCGCATTTCCTCCTGGAAATGCAGCTGCAGATGCCTTTTCTCTGCATTTCTCGCTGGAATTCCAGCTGGGACTCCAGCTGGAAGCATTTGGAAGAGGCATCTGCAGCGCATTTCCACCTGGAAACGCAACTGCAGATGCCTTTTCAACGCATTTCTAGCTGGAAATCCAGCAAGAAATCAATGCACTCGGTAACCAAATCAAAGCAAGCTTGCTCGTGACATCAAACCAGGGAGATCTTGATCTCTTCCCCCGTCCGCACCTGCGCATCCAGGGCAAAAACATGTGGGGATGTTTTTGCCCAGGTTCTGCCGCTACACATCATGTATCTAATTATTAGGTTCTGGCTTTTATAGGAATATCAATATGCGAAGCCTTTCCATGTCATACCACGCAGATCAACACTTATGCTTTGCCTGTGCCTGTACACGTGCCCTGCGCGCCAAGTAACGACAAGCAGCATGAAGAGTGAGCCCAACAACTTTCCGCCGAGTCATGAAGCCAAAAATAAAGAAGCACAGTGAGACGCCACGACCGACGGGCGCCGTTTGTATTCGAAATGTGTGTTTCCCTGCAAAAGCATTGCTCGAGCGGACCGGGATGCAGCTCAAACTGCTAACGAGAGAGATCACAAATTGCCACCATGACCGTCAAGCTTTCCTTCGTTTGTACGTAGAGCGACGCCCCAACTTCTCCAGATCCAGACACCAGATTCCGGGATGCCAGATTCCGAGACACCGTAGGGACCCCAGTCCGTAGGGGCCCCACTCCGTAGGGGCCCCAGTCCGTAGGGGCCCCAATCTGTAGGGGCCCTGGTCCCAGGGGCCCCTATTCCAGGGGCCCTGGTCCTAGGGGCCCTGGTCCCAGGGGCCCTGGTCTACACCTTTACCGATATCGCCCTGGTCTACACCTTTACCGCGGCAGGTCCTCTTCCCGATCTCGCACTGGTGGTAAAAGATAGAAAGCAGCACAATAAAACTCCTTCTGGGACGAACGACACAAAATATCTTCTCCCGGAAGAGTTGCGCTTGGCCCGGGTTCTGCTTATCAATATCCCCCCACAATATCAATACCCCAACCAATCAGACGAGCAGCGATGCGGCACCTCGAAGCAGAACCACAGGGAAGCTGACGCGGTTTTGACGACGCTGTTTTCGCTTTTTGTGAAAATCATGCTCGCCGACGACCAGGACGGCGTGAAGGAGAATGTCGACAAGGGCAGGAAGACCTTCGCGGTCCTCACGGCGTATTCTGCACAGAAACAGCTGTTGCAGAGACTCTTTCACCAGAGAGCCCGGAAGCGGTTCCCGGGCTACTATCAAGACAGTAGACACGGCGAATTACAAGGAATAAGCATCGATCCGGCGCAGCTTTCTACCCTTTTGCACAAGCAAACGATGATTGAAACGGTCGACGGGTGCCAGGGCCGGGAGGCGGACTTTGTGCTGTTTTCTTCGGTGCGGCGGGGGAAAAAACTTGGGTTTTTGACGGACAAAAGACGGCTGAACGTGATGCTTTCGCGGGCCAAATATCAAACAAAAAAGTGTTAATGTTAACGGTTATTTTCATAGATTGCAAATATGCATGACAAATTTTACCTAGCATGCATGCTAAGCATGACAAATCTGGGGTACACGTTTTTTGATGCATTACTGCATGCCAAATTGAAATTCCGTATAACGTTAACAATTTTTATTTTTGGTGTGATACCAAATCAGGATTGATTGTGTTTGGGGACAAGGAGACTTTACAGGCGTATCAGCATAATTCTGCTCCGGAGAGCAGTACTCCAACCACCAAGAACTGCACAAGCAGCGCGGGGGCCATAATTGCGTCGCAGTCATTAACCTCGAATCCCCCACTAAAGGAGGAAGACGAGGGGGCTCTGCTGTGGAAAAAATGGGTCGAGGATAGGGTGGAGAGCAACGCCGTTTTAGATTTGAAACACTGGGAAGACAAATGTCTGGAAATTCGTAAAACTGCCGCACCCGCGCAGCAGTACAACGTGACTAATTTGCGGAACTGGGCGACTGCAGCAGGACCCGGTGGTCAAAATCAAAATCAAAATCCTACTACCGTGGCGGCGCAAGCGCCAGCAGGAGCCCCTTTTGGGGGTAGAAGAGACCCCCGGTCGTCCGCCTCCGGCTCTGCGTCTTCCGGTGTAGATGAGGATGAGAATTACTTTAGCATGCAGAACAGCATGATGAGAAATCGAAACAAATTCGTCATTACCGCCGACCTCCAGAACGCACTACGGGCAAATTCTCTGAACACTAATCCCAGTCAAAGCAAGACGCCGGCGGTAGTTGGGGTGCAAATGGAAACAGGCGGTGATTTGGCGCAGGGAGATTTAGTACGGGATGCGACACCTGCGGAAAGTAGTGCTGGCGCCCTGACTTCTTCTGCCACTGTGCATAGCGCGAATAATAGTACAAATACGAAAATTATGGAGAGTAATATGAACGAAAAAAACGAATAAACTGTGTTGAAGAAAATCAGCAGACCCTGGAACAAAAGCGATCAAAGTATGTAGGCAAACAATTCTGGGTGTAATTTTACACCTCTTGTCCTGACGCGCAATGTGACCGAGTATACTAGCTCTAGCTCTGATCGTCCCTCACCACCAGCTCTGCCGCCGCAAAGGCACCAGGCGGTAGGGCGCAAAAGAGGCATCATTTTCTTGTGCGTTGTGGTAGAGTTGTGCAGCGCAAGGTCGTGTTTACTATCCTTTCTATCTTCACAACTACGTCGTGCAGTGACGTCGTGTAGGAGCTGTCTTTTTTTTTTCGGTCTACTTAGTCGACTAGCGGAAGTTGTAGAAAAGTGCCATTATATCGGTTTTGTGATTAAGGAAAAGAAATCATGTTTAACGATCATCATACTTCGGTTGATGTTTTGCAGAGTTACTTGCGTCCATCGGTGTAGTAGTACTTCTACTTGCATGTGCAGTGTTTCACACGGCTCTGTCCCTGTACCTGCGCTTCTCGCCCACAGCGCTGTGTAAGCAAGAAGCGCCGTCGGTTTGGACGTGTCGATCCGTTTTGTCTTCACCTCGGTTTGGACATGTGGATCTACTTTTCCTTGACCTCGGTTTGGACAAGGACCACTTGGTGTCTTGACCACAGTGTGATCGGTTAACTATGGATGCACCCCGGTGCATCATTTTCGAGTAAGTGACGGAAAGTTCTATGATGTGATAGAAAGGGCTAGCAGATCCCTGGTAAGCTAATGCACGGTGGCACGACTTGGACTGGACCGGCACTCAAGGCGGGGGTCGTGCCAGGATGGAATTTTATTTCGATCGGCTGGACTCAGTCACGGTTGACTGGGGGCCGATGTGGTTTCTCTTGAATGATAGCGCTAAGGCTCACATGCCCAGGAAGGTGCGACAACTGGACTCAGTCTTGTGGGAAGGTCAGACTGGGGGTTGGGATCGCTCAAATTTGTTTTGGTTCGGATAGAAGGTTACGTAGGCATCTGCATCTCCACACTTCGGAGCAACACAGTACGAAATTCGGATCGCGGTTTTCGCGCAAAGAAGTATGTGCCTTGTTTGGCCCACACGCCCTGCTGTGCCAGGGAGGTTGACGCAGGTCTGGTCTTTTCTCAACCTAAGTTGTCCGTGCCTGGGTTTTGGCTTGGTCGGCACAGTCTTGAGTCTCGGCCATTTGGGGCCACAGGCAACAGTAGTGGTTGGAGTACGGTGGCGGTGGGGGAGTCCGCCAAAGTTGTATATTAAGTATGGCCCCGTGAAGGAGGTACTGGTACCGGGGCAGCATCCTCAGGGGGAGGCCGTTTTAGGTGGCACGCTTGGAATAGGTCTAGGACAGTGGAAGACTCGTGCACTTACTGCTACTGCAGCTCGGAGGGGGCAAACTAAGCTTTTCTGTTTGGAAAAGCAGGAGGCCTTGGGACTGGTAACTTGGTGCCGCGCGGCCTTGTTCGGTTGACACACCCCCGGGTCTTTGACAAGGACCACTCGGTTGACAAACCCCCGGGTGACTTCACCTCGGTTTGGACAAGGACCACATGGTGTCTTGACCAGAGTGTGATCGGTTATTAACTACATAAGGACAATGAGTCAACAGAGGAGGCTAATATCGAGTCGCCTCCTAAGTCAGCCTGATTTGTTGTTGTGCTCGAGGAACTCGAAGAGAACAAGATCCGCAGCGTGATTAAGTACTTACTTCCAGCAGACCATGAAGAATTTCGTTTCATCATCTGCTGAATGTTGGTGCTATAAAAATCGCATGTTACTACTGCTGCTGTCTACCGCTGCGAACAGTACTAAACAAAAAGAAAGTGACAAAAGCTATACGTTTCCGCTGCCCGGAGAAAAAGAAATGAAAAAGCGTTGTCACAACTCCTCCGAAATACAACTTCAGGCCAGGCTACAACTACCTATATTTCTCCCATTTTTTCTTGCACATTTTTTTCATCAATGTACCGATTAGGATTTTTGACCTCACGATGCACAATTAAGATCTTCCAGTTACTACACTTTTGATGCACTTCACACGAAAATAACTTCAGACCACTCGGATAAGTAAGCACAGCATGTTGAACGCGATAAAGACATTCCAAACTCCCAGAAAAAAATCGGATGATCAGTGAGGGGCGAAGCGAGGCGGGGGCGTGAAGACTTCTCAGAACAACAAACGTGGTCTTCCTGAACTGCGTGCTGCCAGCAGCATATAAGTTAGTACCAGAAGGTTTTTTCTTCGAACGGGCCCGGGCGGAGTGAGTGCGCAAACATAACATCAAAACAAACCACGGAACAAGAATCATCATGTTCGGCTCCCACCTCTTTTTCGCGGTGGTCCAGTTCTTCCAAACCCTGGGGATCGCATTCTATTTGGAGCTCACCGATCTGTACGCGATCCTTCTCACCACGGACCCAGCGCTGTTTTTCATCGTGTTGGTAACGATTGGGTTTTTGGCCCTCACGGTTGATTTCGGAGAATTGCTCCTACCATTCTTGTCCGGGTCGTTGTTCCCGGCCGCGCTGAAGAAGAGGGGAACAACTGCCAGTGCAAGAGGAGTTAAAAATGCAGGTCCCCCAGGCGCGGGCCCAACAGAAGACCACGGACCGCCATCCGCCATGCGGGTGTGTGGTACGCGGCTTGTAGCGGAGGAGATTGCGCGCGAAGAAGTTGTGGAGTTAGTAGAACAGCAAGGAGTCACGGAATCCACTATCCCGCCTTTTTCTCCTATGACACGAAAAAAGTGTATAATGCGGTTCTTTCACATTTGTTGTAGCTTCAGCAACACAAATGTAAACCTGCTCAGCATGATGACAGAAGGAGGCTGCTGCAGTGGAGAGAGCAGAAAGGAAAGTGAAGCATGATCGTGAACTAGGGCTGGGACGAAGCATGCTCGACATGACTGAGGATATTTTCTATCTTGCTGATTTTGCATCACAGTGTGTAAGAACTGTAAAGAATTTTTCCCTGCGATATTTTCCTCGCTCGGGATGAACGTGGAGTCTTTGGTTACCCCGGAACTTGACGAACTTATTTTGGCGCCGTCAAATGGAAGTGGCGGAAATCAAAAGGATCCCATCAAGCCCGGTAGCATGATTTCGGAAGAAGAACAAGAAGACGAAAGTCAAAATGAGGAATTGCTAATCAAAAGAGCTGCGAACTACAATTACGGGCACGATGCTCTCATTGTACAGCAAGAACCTCCTGCAGGCGTCCTCCCAGGAGCTGGCTCGGGTTCGAGCACGACAAGTTCGGAGAAGGCGATATCTCCCTCTTCATCGCCGATGAGTAAAAACAAGAAGAACTACCCAGGAGCTACTACTACTTCTACTGGTCCGGCAGGTTTGGGACAAGTAGTAGAAAACGACTCACGACCTGGATCTGCTCCTTCGGTTGAGAAGAATTTTCCGAACAAACAAGCGGCGCAAGACCAAGACACGATTCTGACCGCCCAGTCACGGACCGCGAGCCCGATAGCCCGCCTCCGCGGCCGAGAGGCGAAAATTTCAGAAGAGGACCGGCGATCCGTGGTTCTTTCTAACATGATGAGAAATAACGACGAGCCCACCACGACGAACAACACTACTAGTAGTAGACAAAGGGCGCTTTCCGATAGTGGTGTGGTTTTCAACACCACCACTGGCATGCCGAGCGGTGGAGAGAATGCACAACTACATACGGTCGTCGCATCCTCCTCTCCCACACCTAGTGTAGAACTTCCTGGAACATCAATAATACCAACAAACAACGACAGCACATCAGTTTTTCCTTCTCTAACTCTCGACACGCGCACGAGCTCGACTCTGTCAGGCCTGAGTTCCAAGAACACGAAGCGTGTGAGGTTGCGGACCAGTGAGGTTGTTTCGAGTGCACCAACCGGGGAAGATGGGACGTCCACTACTACGTTAAGTGGCTTCAACACGAGCAGTGTCGTCGTAGGACCGGGCACAGGGTACCACTACCATAGCACTTTTCAACACCCCCGCGAGCGGCATCATGGTACTACGCAAGAACTTTCCAGGAGTGCGAGTGGCGGCGCGCCAGGGCGGGGGCCAGCAGCGGCGTTATCTTTTTTGGATGAAAAAGGGAGACAAAATTTCGGCGGAGGAAGGCAGCGGAATGGTGTTGGTGGGACAACAGGAGCACGCGCACCGCCGTCGAGCGGCGTCGCCGGCCTTCCGAGCTTGGCTTCGTCCTCCAGTTTGAGCATTGGGGATCGCATCCGCATTCTGGCTATCAAACGCAAATATGTCAGTCTGGTGGTGTGTCTGGGAAGAAGTAGTTGTTATGCAAGTCTATTGATCGGCTGCGCACTGCCACTGCAATACGTAAGTATAGATGCGCCGCTAGGCATGATGAGTTCATTGTGAGTTGCTTGGTGTTGCGCCGTGGTCCGCATAGCAAGCTGCGTTCTTTATGCATGACAGGCAACTGGTAGTAGAGCTAGGTCAACATCTTTTCGCGTCTAAGCACTACAGCCCGCAGCGTGATGCCAGACACGCAGGATCGCAAATTATATTGTGATGTCTTCTTGCTCCAGAAGATGAGCACCGAAATGGCATATTTGCACTGGATACCGGCAGAGGAGCTGGAGGAGGAAGAGAGACGGGAGAAGCTGAAACCAGCAGATCCACAACAAGTGCGGGCGAAGCAATTATCCAAATCCTCCTCTACTTCCCCCGTTGTACTATCAGGCCGAAATACTTCTTCGTCGAATAACAAGCAACAGGTCACCACCATCCAGGGAGCCCTCGACGCTTTGTCGGCGCACCAGAATATGATGCTTGCCGACCGGACGCGGAGTCCCGGGGGGACTGCTAGTACTTCGAGCGTCCACCTCGGGCAGAAAAACTACAAACGGGAAGATTACCAACAAGAAGAAAGCGCGCACAACTCTACATCCCATTCTCCCGCATCGACCTCCTCCCCCGGGGGTTTCAGTGCGGCCTCCCCGGTCACCGTGGTTGGCGTGCCGGGGCGAGACCATCACGGGCTGGATTCAGACGAGGACGCGGAGGTGCTGGCAGCGGAGTATCAAACGGAAAAATCCCGCCTCCCACCTACATCAAAATACGAAATTTGTCATGCTGTATTTGAGTACACAAATCGACTTGTATTGCTAGAAGGC